GAGGCTAAAATACATTTGCTTCATATAAATTAAATTTTATTAGATATAATTATTGAATCTAATTGAAAGTAATGTTTATATTTTCAGGAAAATTAAATCTAATTATTCAGTCAATTATGCAGGTATTTAAATGTAACACCATTAAATTAAAACAGGAACTCGCAATCACGATCAAAAAAGAATATGTTCTATTATACAAAAATTTCATTATCCGTACAGTTAAGTTTCTCAATTAATTTAATTTTACTGTTCATAGATCCATAATATTTTTTTTTCGAAGAAGATCAAAGTATACGAACGAACGCGCGTCTTTCGAATCTCGTAACTTTGGATTAACGCGTTTCTCATAAACGTGAAACGTCCGTGAAGTAAAAAGCTATTTCATTTCACAAGTATATTTTTTCTTATATTTTTTTTCTTCCTCCTCTTCTTCTTCTTCTTCTTCTTTCGTATTTCTCGATACGGAAGGGGAATTTCGAATGGTGGTGCTCGTAAACTTTTGTGAGACGCGTATGACGTAAGCGTAAAGTAGAACGCGCGGCTTCCATAAGTCGTAAAAAGGGCCTATAAAATTGTACGCCTCCCCCGTTCGAAACGAGTCCACAGCAATTTCATATATTTACGAGAATCCTCCCGAGTCATGAAACTAACATTAGAATATATCCTTTCAACTCCCCCCACCACCTTCTCCTCCTCCTCCTCCCCTTCCTTCACCTGCTTCTCATCCCTTCCCTTTTCTTTTACACTTGAGCCGACCATATGCATGAGAAATCGGTTATTAAATATGCTAATTAATGAGTCATTTTTAAACGATTCTCATCGATCAACTTTTCGTCGTATTTTAAATTGAAGTCGAAACATTAGTAGTAGTAGTAGTAGTAGTAGTAGTAGTAGTAGTAGTAGTAGCAGTAGTAGTAGTAGTAGTAGTAGTAGTAGTAGTGTGTGTTTCTTGATATATGTTTCATTTTATTTCATTTTATTTTTGTTCCTTACTTTATGGGAGATAATTCTCATGGGAAGAATTATTTGGATAGGAATATGTAAGGATTGAGAAACGATTAGGTATTAAATTAATTGATACTCTCGATCATTGAAATATACCAAAAATTTATTTACATAAAAACATGAATATAATACCTGTAATATTTCAACAGCTGCGCATTTTTTTCAATATGGTCAAATACCCAACCAACTGGCGACGAGTCTTCAAAGTAATGGTATTGTCACGATATTTAATAATTAAAACACACTTCCACGGTGAGCGAAACAACTCGTAAGAATCTAAATCTAGGACTATATCAAAGAGAGAAAACTAAACGAATTATTTAAAAAAAAAAAAAAAATATGAACAGAAATAAAAGTAAACCAAAAGAATTAATCGATCGGTTTATGATCGAAACCAAAAAAAAAATAAAAAAAAATTATATAACATATATTACTTAAAGAAATTTGTTATAGGAAAGAAAAAGGCATCGTTTGCTCTTCTCTTCTTACAATTATAATTTAAATTATTCTTTTTTTTTTTTCTTTCCTTCGCAATTTTCTCCTTCTAATTTTATCTCAACTTTTTGAAAAACAAAATTTTGCATTAATCAAACAAAAGAAAAAAAAACAAGATCCGTCTATGGAATAGGATTTTCTATACTTGCATTATTATTCTTTCATAAATAATAGCATAGCATTGTTTTTTTTTATTACTTTTGTTTTCTTTTTGTTTTATATTAAATCAGTCACGATATCTTCGATAATAATTGTTTGTTTGTAATTTTTTTTTCTCTCATTTTTCTTTTTCCTTTTCTTCGCAATTATTATTCGTTACAATATTTACAAAAACGTATACGTACAACTTAAGAAATATATAAGTGAAAAGGTACGATAGAACGATTAAATTATTATTACCATCATCATACTTATCATTGGCAGTTATAGTAATTTCTCATTTCGTGTAATCGTCATCATCATTGTTATCACCATCATCATCATCATCATTGTCATCATTATCATCGTCATCATCATGATCATCATCATTTTGTCATCATCATTATTATCATTATCGTCGTCATCATTGTAATTTAATTTAGAGCTACGAATCGTCCAGAATTTTGTTCGATTTCAACAAACTCGCCGATTCCTGATCATTTTCTTCTTTTGCCCAATTTTTATTTCTTTCAACCTAAACACATCACGAGAGTAAATTTCGAATCCTCTTAAATTTATCTACATATTATAATATATTGTTTATCTTTCTCTTTCCCTTTTCTTTTTTTTTTTTTTTTTTTAATACGATTTTCTTATTTAAATTTCAATTTTTGTTGAAGATCTATAATTTTGTTTATTTGTATGCATTTATATATAATTATTAGATCATTATAATAAATATAAATATATATGTACGATGCTGTTAACACATTGAAACGCCAACCAATTGCAACAAACTAGATTTTTCATTTCTCCATCATTCAAGCCGCCGCATGGGACATCGGTGACCGACACCCTTAAGTTTTTTTTTTTTACACCCGATAAATCATCGTGGCCTAAACGCAAAAGTATTCTACAAAAAAATAAACGAAACTTAGCGTTTTTAACGCGTTAAATTGCGAGAAGAATTATATTCTTTCTCGATCGATGCAAAAAAAAAAAAGTTTAGCAAAAAAAGAAAAAAAATGGCGAACTTGTTGCTCGCAAAAAAATAGGAGAGGCGCATTTAGTTTTCACTATTTCCATCGCATATCAATCTCAATTTCACATATCAAACCGATTCGTCATCGATCATACAAATGTATTTACGTGTGTACGTGTGTATATTTATGTTTATGATACGACCAAGATAGTATCGTTTAAAACGACGAACAGTACGAGCAAACGTTTAAAAACCACTAACAAGCCAATGATTTTTCGTTTTTTATTGAATACTTTTCTCCTCATCCTTAGCACATCCCTTTTCACTCTCTCTCTCTTTCTTTCACACTCATACACACATATTGTTATTAATTCTCGCGTACACAGTTTACAGCATAGATGAAAATAAAAATATAACAACATTATTTTCAAAACAACATAATAATAAAATAATAAAATACGCAATTTGTGTGTGTGTGTACACACGAAATCTTTCTTAATCCTTTCGTTTGCTTTTTTTTTTGAGACATTGCTAGTTTTTTTTTTTAGCTTACAAAGATACAAACAGTGACGAATAGAAATAGACGGGCAGACAGAGAAAGAGATGATTGGAAAGATCAATTTTTTTTCTTTTCTTTTNTTTTTTTTTAAAGGATTATCGTCATTTTCTTTAGCTTACAAAGATACAAACAGTGACGAATAGAAATAGACGGGCAGACAGAGAAAGAGATGATTGGAAAGATCAATTTTTTTTCTTTTCTTTTCTTTTCTTTTCTTTTCTTTTCTTTTCTTTTCTTTTCTTTTCTTTTCTTTTCTTTTCTTTTCTTTTCTTTCGTTTTTTTGTCAGTAACGATATGAACGATATTATTTTCGTAGAAATTCATTTCGTATTAAAAGTTTGGACCTAGTTTATTATTATTATTAATATTATTATTATTATTATTAATATTAATATTATTATTATTATTATTTATTATTATTAATATTATTTAAATCGGTTTACAGTCAGGTTTATTTTTTTTTCACTTCTTTTTGTTTCTTATTACTTTCCTTTTTTTCCTTCAAAAGATCGGTAATATTAATCTCAAAAATTATTTCTGTAAATATTATTGGTTCAATTTGATTTTACCGCGCGATTTCAAATTGAATTGAATCGGATTGAATTTTTATATCTAGTGCTGATATTTTGTTTTCTTATGTTATTTTCCTGCTTTTGCGAACAACTTTAGTTATTTAGTTAATCTCGCATAGTTTTCATCGTTTTATTTATATTTTTAGTTACTCGATACATGCTAGCCCACGATATCATAGCGATGTGTATATCATATGCGTACGAAAAGTATTTTCAAGTCAAGTTTTTTTTTTTAAACTCGGTATTTTCTTTCCCCATCCCCAAGAAAGCGGACACGACCATAATTTACTTTCTTTCATAGCGTTGTCATGTATGTATACATGCATATATATTTATATATAGAATATATATATATATATAATAAATATATAAATCATCACGTATATCATAATAAAGAAACAAATTATGAAAGAGAGGAAACGAAGAAAAAAGAAAAATGTTCTATATATCAACACGTTGACTATCGCGTAGGCCACCCGTGGGCGACGTTTGTTCTTTTAATAAGACCACGTAACATTCTTTGACATTTAAATCTTAATATTGTGGCCAATAAAAAACGATGTAAAACTTTAGTAGCAATCAACGTGTTGAATTAAAATAAAAATTAAAGAACAAAAAAAAATAAAAAAAATGGCATAAACGAGATCTCACGTTTGTCGTTAATATTAATATATATTTATATTTATATATTTATATATTCATTTATACGTTATTAGTATAATTTGTGTAGCGAATAAAACTATAAGTAATACATATATAATATATATATAATACATATACATATATATTATATATATACGAGTGTTTCGAAATTCTCGAAGGAACTCTCATCTTCCACACATATTATAATAGAGAATTCGAAATAGTTTTTGTCTCAATTTAATTTGAGAGAAATAAGAAGAAAAAAAAAGATTGAAATCTAATCTAAAAGTCGCTTATATATTTCCTTTTATTTTATTTGTTTCAAATTTTATTCCTAATCCAATCGTGTCCACGTTATTCGTTAAGAACGTATTTCGAAAGGGATACAGTATATTTAAACATACACAGCATCATTGTCAATTATATCGAATATAAACACACATATGTTATTAGTTTCTATATACACGTTAGATTACCTATGTATGTATAAAGGATCATTTATCTGTCAATCAATCAATCGATCGATTAATCAATCAATCAATCAATCAATTTCATTAATTAATTAAGCGCTGTCAACGTTACACAACGTCGCATTAACTGTTCTATCTTTTTTTTTTTATTTTCTCACGTTATTAATTTCTTTTATTTTTTTTTCTTTCAATATCGTTTACTAACTGCATTGTAAAGCACCTTGGTTATCAAAATAAAATAAGAAACATAAGAACCAAAAAATATAAAAACCAAAGAACACGTACAGTAAATGATTTGGAATTGCGAGATTAAACACCGAACGCTCTTTTTTTTTTATCTAATAATTTTCGTTTTATATCAAGCGAAACGATGCACATTGTAGCATTAGATTACTTAGAATCTCGCAAAATATTTTTTCGACTAAGACTCTTCCTTTCATTTCTGCTATACGAGTAGTCATTTTTACTTTTTTTTTCCTTTTTTCTTTTTAACTTTTAGCAAATAGGCAGGATCTAAGCTTGATATTTTACGTATATCACATCCTTAAACGCAGTTTAAATGCAGTTAAACGCAGTACGGCACTGTTTCATCTACGTGTCAATTAATGACCTTGAAGTGGAGGGGGAGCATTTAAAGCACATCATTTTTATAATTCTCTTTCTTTCAATTGAGATTTTTCGGCAGTGATCAGCGTTTTCCTTTTTTTTTGTCTTTTTCTGTTTCATCGAACTAGTTTCAAAAATGTTATCAAAGATAAACATAAAAAAGTTTATCAAGCAGGGCGACAACACGAAAAATTGAAACAAAAAAATAACGCATGTCATAATTGGACTTTTAGTTTGATCCTGGCACTTTAAGATAATTGACATCAAATATTTTTACGATATAAAAGTAGAAATTATTATGCTCGTAATCATCCAAGTTGTTGAATCAGCGTCATGTTATTCTCTGAGAAAAGAAAGAAGAACATTGCTATATATCGTAAAAAGTATTTGACAAGGACCGAGACGAAGCTAAGCTTGAAGAATATTTCCCATTAAATTAAACAAATTATGTTCAGCGAGGCGAAGCAACAACGAACATTGTTGAACGTTGTTGTGCAGGATGATACCACGAATGAAAAATTGAATGATGGAAGAATTTACAAAAATTTGTCCTTTTTTTAATCCTTCCACCAGCCGCACAAGCAGCAATACCATCGCCTCTCTGGATGAGGTTGTATTATCTGCTATTGTCAGTGCATCGCCCTAGTCGTGGTCAAATGCGTGGTTTCTGCCCTTTTGGGTGGAGGTGGTGGTGGTCTCCTTTTACTAGCAATGGCATTGACGATATTGATGCTACGATTTTCATCAGCGAATCTGACGGTTGCTTGACGAGCAGGACTCGACGCGTACTCGAGGGGTGCATGGGGATCCGTCGTGTAGACATTTTCGTAGAGATTGTCAACTCCATAGTGTTCCTGTACCCAATTGGATACGTTGGTTTCTCGGTAATCAGCAACAGCTGGTGGTGGATCTCGGAAACCTAAGACTTCGTGCGGTGTTGTGGTCGAGTCGAGTTTACACTTTTGTGCAACTTGCCATTTTTTTCTCATGACTCGTTGGAGATCCTTTAAAAAGTCACCTGGCGGTGCTTGATCAGATGCGGCTAATTTTTTAGGGGACGTCAATCGCGTACTGTCAGATCTTCTCGGTGGCATCGGTTTTCTTAACGGTAAAGCTGGGCTACCGGGTTCTTGTTGAGCTGGTAAATTGAACGAGATCTTCTTACCCGTGCCACTTTTTGACTTGGGTGACGTTGGTGGTTCTTGGATGGTCACTCGACGTTGCGGTTGAGGACTCGACGCAGCTTTCAACTCGGCGAGATAGGGCGGGGCAGCGTAATGACTCGTACCCTGTTTCATAGCACTCCTTCTTACCGTGTCCATATTAGGATTTGGCCTGATCGGATTAGGTACGGTATTGTGCCCGCTCTGGTGACTACTCCCGTAAATCGATTCAGATTTCGAATTCTGTCGCGTCAAACTTTGCGTCCCAACGTGTTGCGTTTGTGTACCATAAGCTGGGGGTGGGACGAAGGGTGGCGGTGACGTGAAACTCGGCGAACTTGGTGCGTAAGTCGGTGTGCTGGCACTCGAGCCAGGATAGGAACTGTGTGGAGAAGCCGACGAGTTTGCTGATGCACCCGTCGCGTTACTGCCGCTTTCATAATTCTGACTGTTTTGTTGGGCAGAAGTATTTTGTGGGGTGCTTGTATACATTTGATTGCTACTATTAGATAGCCTTGACGCAGTATGCGTAGGCGTATTCTCGGGAGTCATCGAATTCGACGGACTACTCGACGTTTTTGGTCTCGCACGACGTATCGTACCGGTCTCACCAACAAGTGGACTCGGTGGTGGTGGTAAGGAAGCAAGACTCAACGAAGAACCAGTCAACTCTGGCGTGTTGCATACTGGAAGTTCGCCTAGTCCAGGTGGTGGTGGTAAAGAATCCAGAGAGAGATTCGAACGAAACATTTCTGGGGGTGGTGGTGGTAATGGTTCGCTATCGGATTCCCCTTCTTCGGCAACTCTCGATGGAGACGGTGGTGGTGGCAGAGATATGATAGAATCCATCTACAATAGAAGATAATGAACTGATCTGTTCTAATGATAATAGAATCTCGTTAACAACTATACTCGTCTCCAATTACTTACCATACACGGTTGTATAGGACTGGTCGGTGTTTTGGATTCTTGACTCTCCGTTCTCCCATATCCCATAGGACTGGCCCTTTCCCTCACCGGCGTTCCAGGTGGTACAGGACTAACTGGGGTTGCGTTACCAGATCTATGATGTCTTTTCAAAGTACCCGATCCATCCGAATCAGTGCCACTTCTTCTACGACTGTGTCTTCGGGTTAGGGTACCCGAACCGGAGCTGGTTGGGCTCGGGCAAGAATCTGGCTCGTCGCGTACTGTTTCACCGACTTCCTTCAATTGCCTCGTTATCGATGTTAGAGGAAGTTTTGGGTTCATGGAAGGTTTTCGCTTAATTGTTCCCGTTGGAAATTCACCACACTCGAAAGCCACCTGGGGAGATAAGGAGAACAAATACATTAGTTTTCGATTCATGATCTTTCCATCAAGAAAATCAAAATACATGAGGAATATTTGATTACCTCACAACTACTCGGTGCTCCATCGGACAAACAACCGCTGGAACTGGAACTACTGGCTCTGCTAAGCCTTCCATCGTTATTGTAACTCTGTCTCTGTTCCGAATTGTAACTTTGTCTTTGACTATCGTATTGCCTCGTCGTAGCTTGTGTCTCGTGCCTTGAATTTTCGATGAATTGTCTAGCATTGTCATTGGTAGTATTATATTGAGTTTGATTAGGTGGTACGGCAATCGAGCTGACCGAGCACGATCTCGCGTGTGCCAATAGATCGAGGTCTTCCTGTGCAATCTCGTCCATTACCAACCTGTAGTTATCCATTAGTTGTCTACCGTATTTGGCAAGCCTAATCCCAACCATCCATCTTTCCAAAGACGCATTATCTTCCGCGCATAAAAATTTGATAAACTTTGTCGATTTTGGTTGCTGTAATCTCGGATGTTTAATGGCGAAACAAAAATCTGTTGGTGCTTTATACTTTTTCTTCCAACCGACACCGTAATAAACTTGATTGACATCAAATGTAGCCAAACATACGAGATCTCTAGCAGTACGTGCCTTTTCTTTCGGCCAATAATAAAGTCCAGATGCACGAAGTATGAAATGATACTTTTTCCAACCCTTTTTACTGTCTGATTTCAAATACAATGGTCCCTCAACCTAAGAACAAGACAAATCTGGTTAAGAAACGTTTCAAAAGATTAATACAAAAATTGATAAGTTGCAATATTTACTTCAGGAACGCCAACATTGATACTCGTAAAAAATTCTTCCAAAAGCATATTACGAGAATGATCGTCGTATTCATTGCTACATCTGTCTGAATGACCCAACAGGAATCTTTCAGGAGTGAAGAACAATTGATTTTTATCAGGCCTTTCAACGAAGAGTAATTTGTTTTTGGAGTCTCTTGTCCAAAGTAACAAATTTTCTACCAGTAGCTCGTGATCTTCGTATACTCGTTCTACAAACAAAAAAATACTCACCGTTAGCCAATTAATTCAAATATATTCAAAATCCAAGTGTTACAATGATTTTTAAATTACCCATAAAAAGGTCTGGCAAGTGTTCAACAACAGCCCATTTGGGATCCATTGGCACGTGATTTTTATCCGCAAGAAGTCTAGCAACGAGACCAACGTTCATTCCCTCATCTACTAGAAGACTTTTCCCACTACCATCTAATGTGAAAGCTTTGATGAAAAGCTTTTGAACACTGGCCTCTCGCATCTTTTCCAGTGCAAGTCGTATCTTCTCAGCTTTCGCTCTTCCCGCAGCATCTAAAAATTTAACGTTAAATTTTCAACCGTTCACAAAAATGTGTCCCAAATAAAATATCAAAACTGAAATATATATGTTTAAATACCAACCCATATGTTGATGCGGTTGCTGTTGAGAAGCCGTATGAATGGCGGTTTGTGGTGGTTTGTGTCCTGAACCACTGCTACTTGCTGAACTTTCACTGGACAACATCGAAACAGTGTCCGAAAATGCGCTGTCATTGTCTGGACTATCCGTGCGAATACCTTTGACAATAAACATCATTTGTAATCCCAATTTGATTTTCGCAAATCAGCAAAGAATGACATATGCAATCGATTGGCAAAATCAGAAGGTATCACAAACAAATTGATTGAACGAGTAATGACGGACATCAGAATGAAAAAAAATCCCTTACCACCCTCGTTTTTGCCGATGTCAGTGTTATCGGTAGCAGTGATCCTTCCGTTATTGGGACGACTCTGTCTCTGAGAATCCTGAGCTGGAGTAGTGGCTGCGATATCACCGTCGCAACGTCGTTCCAATGCGCACAGTTCACCGAGTATTGCATCCAAGTCGACATCTTGGGAATCTAAAAAAGAATAAATTCATATAAAAATTATTTAGAGACGGGATATCAAATTTAAATCAAAATCAATAATCTTCTAAACAATTAACGTGTGTGTTGGTTAGCCTTGATCAAATGACTGATAGAAAAAAAAAGAAAAAGAAAAAAAAAACAAATACGTGGTAGAGATAAAATTGCGTATTTAAAGGTTCACGATCGGATATCTCAATGAAGTATCGGATATCCTGATCACATGTTCGCTTGTTCTCAATCAGTCGGTAATGCTCTGTAACAGAGATAATGAGAGTGGAAAGACGAGGCTACTGTGCGGGGTTAGAGCACGTACCCGACCAAGAGAAATGTCTCTCTCTCTCCGGCAATAATATTGTCATTAGAAGTGTTTCAAAAGCTAATACTGATATTTATCTTAAATAATAATCAACAATAAAATGATATAACATATAATTATAAAATGAGGAACGTGTCGAGGTTAATTGGGAATAGAGATAAATCGATTATCGTCTTAATCGATAATATTCATTGATACGAAATATCTGACTCATATCAAACACACAACACAACAATAACGTTTATAATCTCGAATTAACTGCGCGTGCTATAATTCAAAAATAGAACTTGATTTACAAATGATTTACAAATTAAGAAACTTTGATAATAATCGTTGAGTTTGCATACTTCAATACTTTGTTGATTACGATAACGATAGGCAATGAACTTGTTTTTTTTGTTTTGTTTTTTGAAAACATTAATAAATAGGAAAAATAAATGAACGCGATAGAAAGAGATAAGAATATTGACGACTAATAGAAAACGAAGGAAGGTTCTCGAGTAATTTGCGAAAAAGTTAGGTGAAGAAAAACGTAAAAGAAAAAGAAAATTCTAGAATCGGATCAAATCGGTTAGGATCCGAGTAAAGTAGAGTAGAAGAACGTTCCAATAACATAGAATAGAGTTTAATGAAGATGAAGATGAAGGAAGGAGGGGGAGGAAGATCCGGTAAGAGGATCTGTGATTCTCGTAGCTCTGTTGCTGCTGATGTTGGTGCTTTGTGCCAACTTATCGAACGATCCCCCCTTTGGAATAAAACCAGTTTTACACTAATTGCCGGACATTTCTTCGATCATCTTTGGTATTCGCGAGAATTCAACAAAACGATTGTTCGTTCAACCGTTAAACAAGGACTCCGACAATGTCCCAACACTTTTGTGTGTGATTTTCTTTAACCTTCTATGTATAAGCAGGTCAAAAATGACAGAAAATTCTTCGTCTTCCTACGTAATCAATAATCACACGTTTGGTTAATCAACATTCTTTGTAAGACATATATTATGCGAAAAGTTTTAATCCAATCGTACGTTCAATATGATCAACGCAAAACGACGACGTGAGATATTTTCAACATTTCTCATTTCTTTTTTCATTTCCAAATTGCAATATTCTCTTCTGTATCGGAGAACAGAAGGTCCATGAAACCGCGGAAATGTGTGCAAATTGATTGATGAGTCGAAATGAGGAAGCATAAGCGCGATGAGAAACGTTCCGGGAAGTTAAAGTTGGAAACGTTTCATTCCATTTGAATAAAATGATCACGTAAATTGAACTTTGATGTATTCTCTAAAAAAATACAGAAGAAAAAAGAACTAAAATTGCATTTACTATTACTATTATTATTATTTCACTATGGTCGAATTTTCACAGTGGAACTTTGAGTAACAACAATGTATCCAAATTATCAGAAGTAAACTAGTGAACAAACTGAAAGCATGGGTGCTAGATGTTCTTTGTAGCGTAGTAATTATCGCGGATTGTTAATCGCACATGATAACACGGACCCGGAGAGTTCGTTAGGATAATTAACGAAATTAGCACGTGCTCGTGGATGAAACGAGCATCAACCTCGATAACACACCAACAAGATATTGTACTAACAAACTATTCAACTATTTGCTTAACTACCTCGACCGTGAATATTCGAAACAATCGATAGGTTTAATAAATAACGAAATTTATTTTAAATAATTATCAGACAAAAATATTCAAATTAATTTTCTCGAAGCATGAATAATCTAAACGATTGGTTTATTAAATAATCAGATTTATTTTATATAATTATCAGATAAAAATATTCAATTTAACTTCTTTGGACATCGACAAAAAAAAATGTGTATTAAATAATAAAGTTTATTGTAAACAATCGGATAAAAAAAATATATGAATGTTTTTAGGAGAGGGAAGAAGGTTGCAATGATGCTTCTTCCATGAAAAACAAAATTAAGCTCATTCTGCATGTAAACCATGCGAGGGCGTTACATTCCATCGAGTTCGAGAGAACAACCAACGGGGCCATAACGTGTGTGTGGGTTTCGATGACGATACTGTTAGCTTGCTCCAACTCGTTCCTTCATTTCTATCTCTCTTTCTTTTCTAGAATATTTCATGCACCATTTTTTCAACGTCTTCCTAGTCTATGACAACGAAGAAGAGGAAAGTAAAACTTCAATAGGCTTTGAGTTTAGATCATAACTTAACACGATTTACTTCCCTTTATCCGACTAAACTCGTTTTACTAACTATGATATAGTAAAATAATATACCAAGACACCAACACATATAGGAAACTTAGTTAAGATGGGGTATAGTAAAGTTCTAAAAGTTTTCCAGTTGGCAACAACAAGGATCAATTTTCTATCTCGTATTATACTTTGATCGTTCGTACGAAGACAATTCTGGTAAAACGAATTCGTGGTATACTTTGGAAAATATCATTTCTATCACGTCGGCGATACTTGACTCCTCGTGCAAGATGACGAGAGTCATGTGGAATGTTAACGATGTTCATACGCGGACAACAAAGTTCCAATGAAAAAAAAAATATATATATATGTATAAAATGCATACGATACACTTTTAGTTAAAAGACATTTGAGAACAGGTAACTTAACGATCAAAAATTCTCAAATTAAAATTACATATAACTAAAACGAAAATGTACGTAGTATTTTTAAAAAGATTATGGGACACAATCACAAACACAAAAATCAACTTCCGCGTATGATGTTGTTCTTTTAACAAACAATCGGTTGTTACAATCAACGTTACAAAGTTCGTGTACGTTGGGTAGTTGCATCGCAGGGCCGTAGTATCCTGCTACGCCGAGTGAAAATAATTGAATATCCGGGTGCACGGTGATCTTCGCTACGAGTTAACGTCCAATAATAATATACGATCGAAAGTAAGTACGATTGGTGTGTAAGTATTTATAATAAACTAGTATAGTAAGTAGAAGAAGAAATAACTAAATACATACTTGTAGATATCTGCAAGTCAAAGTACGAATAATAGGACACATAGTATTTCTATGTGTGTGTTCGTGTGCGCACGCGTGTGTCGATGTATTATGAATGAAATGGAAACCGGAAGTAGAGTAGAACGCGATGGCCGCCCGCTCGTTGCACTTTCCACGACACAACTTTATAGTGATAACGTTAACGAGCTGAGTTCTCTTTTGTTTTATTTATTCTTACGTATTTAATTTTTTTAACAACTCAAACATATTTTTATAACGATTTGAAAATAATTTTTGATATCAATATAATTTTATCATATAAATTATTTGATTTTGTTGTTAATTTTAAAATATATTTAATTTATAACGAAATATTTTATCTCTTTGGATTATTTTTTTATTTACAAATTTATATTTCATTTATTAATATTTTATTATTTTAAATAATCAAAAATATATATATCTTAATTTATGAATTGGTAAAAGTTTATTCTTAACGATCAAATGTAAATGTTCAAATGAAATGAAATGAAATTAAATTAAAAACAAAACAAAAACAAAAGAAAGTTAAAATATATTGTTCAAGAAGTTTACCGTTAATACAACGTAACGTTTTTACCATGAAATAACGTCATCGTTTTTTAACCCGAAAGCATTCGAAAGTACAACCGATGACGTCGTCGATAGTATGTAGTCTGTTGGTGAGCGCAAGTAACCGTGGAAATAAGTAAAACTCTTTTACATATACTCCTCCACCACCACCTCTTCACCTCCTCCTTCGTATTCTGTAAGGAGGATGGGTTGCTTTCTTCACACAAAAGCGAGTATGTTGGGCCACGTGAGTCATGGCTTCCGAATGGTTGAAAAATATCCTTACAGCTCGCGTAACATCGATCTAACTTATTCGTCGTTGATGATGTAGAAAGAATATCTAACACCACCACAAGTAAAAGAATCATGTTTAGAAAATAGGGGAACTGTTCAAAATTCTAACATAAGTTCTGACCACGCAGCGGCACGTTTATGCATAGGTGTACGTGTAACATGTACGTGTACGTGTATGGGTGTGGATGATGCGCGTGTAGTGCATTTTTATATATGTTCAATTATTATTATTACGAATAAGCAGTCAATTTTTCATGAAACAAAAAACAACGATCATTGTTCGTAGAAAATTATTTATCGTAGCCAAATAAAAAAACAAAAATTTCGTCTTACCAGGAAAATCTTCTTTTTTTTTCTTTTTTATTTCTTTTTATCTTCGAAGAACAAATCGATAAATATTGTTTTTTATTTCCATGTAAATGTTAAAGAAAGATTGACGTTTTTCTCAGGAAAATGTTATTTAAAGTGTGTTAAAATTACAACGTTTTACAAATTATAATTTACGGAGGATATCTCTGGAGGTAAGTAAAACTCGTCTTTTGTTTTTTCAACGATATCTCAACGATGATTATAATTTGATTAATTTTTATTTCGTATATATATATATATAAAACAAATAATAAACGAGAAATATATTACGAACCTCTCTTTTTTAGCAATAACGAAAAATATTTATACCGTGGAAAAACAATCAAATATATATTTAATATGACAAAGATTTTTTATTTTACGATTCCCCCTCGACAAAAATGTCATCCGTGTTATGAATAACCGTACACACGGGGATTTGTCAACGCAGTTAATCATTTATCTGTCAAAACGAAAATCCTCG